TTTTTAAAAATCATCATAAGAATTTCATCAGGTAAATCACTCAATTGAACAGATGAATTTTCCATGTCCATATTCACTTGTTTATTCTTTTTTGTCAATAAATGTCAGCATTTATAGATATTATCATATGTTCTATTTGAACGATGTGGTCAATAACAACAATAATTTTTTTTCTATACTCTTATAGGCCAAACAGACTAGACGAAAGAAAAGAGTTAAATTAAGGAATGTGACTGATATTTTTTTTACGTAGCAACACCAATCATCTTCCTTAATTCAGCGTTTTTCTTTCGTCTAGTCTGTTTGCGGTCTAAATGAACAATGAATACATTTATGGCAAATAGAATGACTTTTTTTGTTGTTTGTTCAATGTATATGATTTAATATGTGGCTAAACATTTATAGTCTACGGTCAAATTAGAACGAATCATCAAATCAATGTCAAATGATGAACACCACCTTAATATTGAACGTTGTTGGATTGGAGATATCTCTTTTTATTAGAAGTTATATTCACATTTTGTTTGACTAAAACCTTTCTTAATACAATTCTGAAGTGCAGAGAATGTATTGTAATTATTCAAAGGTTTAGATTCTTTATATAGTTATATATGTGTATTATACATTGTTTATTTATCATCATCTAATTCACTCTGTTAATAATTCAAGTATATAACAACAAAAAAACGATTTTCTCAAGTGAGCTTATACTATTAGTATATTTATATATATATAGTTAGATATCTGAATAAATCTATATCAAACTATTAAAAACTTTTTGACATGTCATAACAATTAAATTCAATCAATCTTTAAGTCATATTATGTTCTTTTGCTTTTCCTTTACTAAATTAATTCATATTTACTCATATTTATTTTCAATATTTAATCTCCTTCAAGTTTACTTTACACCGTACAACAACGAATCAAAACATAATTGAATCTATATATACATCTTCGCAAAAATTTCCCATTATTAGAGCCACTTTCATCTACCTAAGAAAAATCTCAACAATAATAAAATACGACAAAAGTGAAATGCTATGATAGTGTAATTTCAACAACATAAAGAATTGTTTAAATATTTCTGCAAACTTAACAATCACAGAACACATTGTTTCTTCATATTTTATTTTTGACAACCTATAACAAAACATTTTTCGGATAAGGGTGAATCAGAGCGTTACAGTGCATAACAAGCCTATCTACCTAGACTGCTATAGCTATCTTCGTCTAAATCTGGATGAACTTCAGTGAGAAGAAAAGATACTTAATGAATATAAAACCTTGTGCCACAATTCACTGAATATTTTTCTATGTTATTCATTATCCAACATTATGTACTAAAATCAATGGTTAAAGAAGATCTAGGAGCAATGTTCGAAAAATCGTTTATTGATAAAGAATTGTAATGAAATTTGGTTTGACAAGTGATTGTTTTACGAGAAATGAATAGTCACGATTTACTTTGGAAATTGTGAATAAGAACTCAGCAAAAACTTTTTTTAAAAATCTTTTTGAAATATGCAATAATTTAGAAGACTATCGAATAGAAGTTTGATTACAGATAAATATGTTAGAGATGGTTTTGTTAGATCTCAATCAATTTGACAAAGAATCTAAATAAATAGAAAAATTTATTTCTTTGAATGATTTGATATTGATCTTAAATCTAATGAGGGAACCATCTTAGGAGATACCTTCTGTTTTTATTCAATCAGACCATTGTCAATAATCGATAATAAAAATCATCAAATCTGATCGTGACACTAATTCATCATACAGCAGCATATTCTATTAGTATTTAATAGGATATTCAATCTTCTGATTTTAAATGAAGTATTTAATATGTTGCATTAGAAATAAATGAATTTTGAAGATAGTAATCTTGTAAATTATCTTATCTTTGCAAATTTTATGCAATTTTCAGATTTTTTCTGATAACAGTTAGAAGTTATATATGTATATGTATTGTTTTTCTTTCTAAAATATATCGTTTTGTTATTATTAACTTCAAACTCTATATTATGGAATGAAAAATCTATGATAATTTAGATAGATATGATAAAAAATATCATATTTATGAAACAATTCAATTTTAATGTGAAATAAAATATGTTCAGTGAGTAGTTATTTTTGAAAGAGTAAAAATTATTTTGTTCCGTGAAAAGATGTTGTTCATTTGAAAATACAACTGAACATAATTATATAGAAAAGTGACATGAATATTCAAAAAAAATAATAAACTTGGTCTTTATCATTGTTTTGTTCCTGTTGAAATATAATAAATAATATCTCTAAAGTTATTTTTATTTATATCAATTTACAAATCTTTTTGTGTTCAGTTCATAACAGCATGAGACATTCAATAAATTAATATCAATCATTTGATATTGATAGATATCATATGATCTTAACAAAGTTTTAACGATATCTAATGAAGTTCAGTTTAATGTAAGTAGTTCTTTTACAAATGGAAAAATATATCAAAGATTTCATAAAGATTTATAAGAAGTCATTAGAATAAAAGATGACGAAATATAAATAATATTATAAATAAACTAGAAAAACACAACGTCAATGATTTATATTAGTTGCCATAACCTATACTAATACAGATCCTTTTCATTCCATTATTATTTTTCTCTTATTAGTTACATTTTAAAACTGATATAAGAATTAAATAAATTCTAATTCAATCAGAAAAAAACAATAGTAGATACAAAGATAAAATCTAGTCATTTTCATGGCGTATGAATATATAAGTGTAGATGTTCTATTCCTTCACAATTTATCTTTAACTATATTCAAAATAGTATGAAATTTTATTGTTAAAACTATTTATCTTATGATAATCTATCTGATCATTACTAAACATATATATGTTAAATACATCGATATAGATACTATGAAAAATCTACCCTGGTCACGCCACCCCCCCGGTCGTGCTACCCCCCTGGCCGCGCCATCCCTGGTAAATGTTATCGATCTATAAATAAATCTGAAAGAAAGAGAAAGAAAAAGATATTAAGCAGATGTCCTTATAGTTTATCTTTCGCTTAAATCGAATTCATCTTTTTATATTTAAATAATTATATTTTAATATATTTTAGATAATTTTTTTTTAACGAAGTATGGAGTCATTAAATAAAGAATTAGAACAAACTGATATCATCGATGTGTATGAACTTTACTCAGTTGTATTCAAGTTCACGATGAAGCAACGAGGCCATCAAATAATCAAAATCGTCGATCAAGACGAAACACATTACTTGCTAAAAAACCGTGTTATTTCCTGCCGGTTACGAAGGGACGACACGAATTTTATCGTTAAATTTGTTATTAATGGCAAAGAGGAATTAATATTAGTTTGTCTCAACGATTATTTGAGCCAAAATAAATCGTTGAAGAAAAGGTAGATTTTATTAAAAATAATTGTTTTTCAAAGATTATTTTTGAAATTTTTTTAGCACTCTTGTTCGATTGCCTGAGCTGGTGGCTCAGTTGAATAGTGGTATCGATAATATTATTAAAGAAAAAATATGAAATTATAAAAAAACATCGTTCAATTGATAAAGAAACAGTAAACATATTTGTAAAACAAGATTCACATTATTCTTTTTGAAATTGAAAAATATGATGTTACACTAATGTTTACACTTTTTATTGTTGATCTTTCTTTTTTATTGTTAAACTTAATATCTTTGCAAAAGAAAAAAAACAATCTTCTATTCAAGCATATAAATATTTTGTGTTGACGACATTGACCGAGCTTGTAACAATACTTAAAAGAAAAGAAGTGAAAATCTAACAAGTGTTTAGTTATTGATTTGAAAAGTATTATATTATCTTTCGGTTGATAAATAGAGCAATGTATTTATCTATTCGTCGATAGTATTGATAACTATTTACTTTTTACGTATATGATCTTAATGAAATAGCAAGAAATTCTAACATCAAAAATAAATTTGAAAAAAGATAAATAATAATAAGAAACTTTCATCTATTGAATTGCATGTTTTGTTCTCATATACTTGTATCTATATAGAATCGAAAAATGACAAATATATTTTCTGAGAGATATCTTGTTGTAACTTACGAGATTGCTGCGTATATCTATCGATGATGAATATTATGCAAGAATAATATAAGATATTACATAAATCCTAGTGTGCATTTCTATCGCATACTATAATATTCTTTTTAATCAAATTTGACTTCTTGATACTGAGGTTTAATCATTGTTCGTGATTGATATAATCGACAATGTGGTAAAATATAATAAGCTAATATTTGTTTAAGTTATAGTCTTCTTTTTACACGTATCATTCGGAAACGTATTTCATCCATATTATTTTCATTTAAATCTTTTTGTGTACATATTCGAATAGTTAATCGTTTTTTATCTTCATATCCCCATGTATTTAGATTATTGATTAAACTTTATAAGAGTGCTAAATCCCAAATACATTTCTAATAATCGTCAATACCATCATTCATATAATTTTCTTATAATGATTTAAAGATTGTATTATAATCAGGCGCAGAAAGTAATTGACATATAAAAGCAGCTTGTGAATGATAGCCTAGTTTTAATGCAGCTTTGCTCATATTTTGTATTATTATATCATCTTGTTGATTGATTATTGCTAATGAAAAAAAGTGTTGTTTCAATAGCTATTGTACTAATATAAGCATGCATTGCTTGTGTATATTGTTGTAATGTTAAATATATATCAGCTCGTGTACGAAATAGAGAAGATTTTATTTGTATAGGTAAATATTTTAATGTTTGTATATGATCAAATAAAGCTTGAATAAGTTGTGCTAATGTTGATGTACGTATTGAACGTTTTCAATAATCAATTGATGTTGGCCAACATCGAGAGTATTCTGAATAAATATCAATATGTGATTGATCAACAAGTATAAGTGAATAAAGACGTGAAAGAAGTGAAAATATAATTTAAAGTAAAATACGATGATTGATATTAATTAAAATTTTTTGTAATTCAACAGCAGTTAATTTATCATTTAATGAATTTGATTGTTGATGACGATTTCTTGATTGTTTATTAACATTTAATCCTTGTAATTTTTCAGTTAATATATCTGTTATTCGTTCCCATAATTCTTGAGCAAGTTCAGGACGTATTTGTGTTTGATTTTCATTAGTTAATAAATCTAGAAATATAAATATTGAAAAAAGTAAATATTTAATTTTATATGATCTTGCGAGCAAATAATTTAGGTAAATCAAGATAGAGACGAATTCGACGATTATTTACCATTAAAGACTGAATAAATTGAATTTTATTTGGAGATAATGCATAAGCTAAAGCAGCAGATATAACATCCGTATTAGTATCTAAATATAAATAGATCAAATACTTAAATAAATTATTCATGTGAAATTAATCAATATAATTTAAGGAACTTCGTCGTCTTGAAAGATAAAAGTAATCAAATTTTTCTTTGATCAATTTATATTTAAAGTCTATTTTTTTCAATAAATATAAATAAAATATTTTTTTTCTTTGTTATCTGAAAACTAGATTAAAAAGTATTTATATATTATTTACCATTATCTGAATGATTTTCTGTAAGAAAACTTTGATATTTTTCCCATAAGTTATTTTCATTATCATGAAATGTTTGTTTTGATATAACTTCATATAAATCAAATAATAATCGATTATAATGAAGATATTTAATAACTTGTCCAATAGTTATATCTTGATGATGACGTAAACTAAGTATATCAATAGCTTGAGTTAATAGTGTATGACAATGAGAATAATTTTTATTTATTTGTGCACGTTTAGCTTTTACATAAAGAATACGAATTAATTGTCCAAATAAATGATTGATATTCATAAGTATATTTATGGCTTGATCAGTAGGTGTTAGTTTTAATGACATTGGAAATAATCTATTAAGTGTTTGAGATGATTTTGCATTATCTAAATCTGTAATAGTTTGTGTAAAAATTTCAGGTTCAGAAGAATGAATGAAACGTGTTTACCATTTAAATTGTATAGCACTAGTTGATCTTTCTATTAAATTAGACCGTTGTATTGATTGTTGTATTCGAGAACATAAAATCGGAATAGAAAATGTTAAGCCAAAAAGATGAGCAAAATTATTCAGACGTAATTGTTCTTGTAAATTTTTTGTTAAATTATGAAAATGAATTCTAAATAAATAAATATAATTAAGAATTAATTTAATAATTAAGATTTTCTATACCTTAAAGAACTGTTCAATAATAACTGCTGTTTTGGTGTTACTTGTTTTATTTTTTGTAATGCCTTTTATATTTAATTATTAATTGTAAAAAATAATGTTTTTTATTGTTTTGTACTTACTATTTCAAGAAAATCATATGCGTATTGAGTATTTGATACATATTTACCATCGAGTAATGATCGAATTAGATTAAATGAACATACAATTCTATATTGTTGTGATCCACTAAACAAGAAAGAAAATAAATAAGCATTCTTATGTCCGCAAATGTATAAATCAACTTTTCATCTCTTTTTATCAAAATCATTCATTCATCCCGTGACTTAATATCAATGATGTATGAAAAGAAAACTAAAAAAATCTTACACTTCAAGATGATCTTCTAATCGATGTCGAGCTGCTAGTGTCATTTCTTTCATTTCATTATCTTCTGCTAATAGTGCAATCTATTCCTAGATTTAAATATAAATTTTTTTTTTATTTTAAACAAAATCATTTAGATTTTTTTACTTCAATAGAAGTACGTGGTGATGGTACACTCATAAGAAATCGATCTTTAGATTTAAATAGATGACTTTGTTCCATTGATAGATTTATTGCATTAAGTGATGTTAAATAGCCATGTAATGATGAAAAATAATTTGTTGATTCTAATTGATTTCGTACATCATGAACATGTCGAAACATTGTATATGCATTAACATAATTTTGTTCATAAAAATATATTAAACCAAGATCATAAGCAATACGAGCAAGACATTCAACAAGTGGATAAATTTGTGTACGAGACCAGTCACATGATACTGATCCAGTTTCAATATCAATTAAACCAAAACACGCATCCATAGGTATGCATACGACTGATTTCCATTCTAATAAAGCGTCTAATGCTTGAACACTTTCTTTCATCTTTGCACATACCAACTCTATAACATTTTCATTTGGTCCACGCATATATTGTAATGGATCTACATATCCAGCTCTAAAAACAAATTTTTTATAAAACTTTTGTATCAAAAATAAATATATAATATCATACAAATTGACTTGAAAGATTTTAACAGATTTTCTTGGAAATGATGATTGAACATGTGTTCTAACCGCCCTTATCAATTTAATAAAAATAGATTTTAAAAATTCTCAAATCATTATATACAAGCCATCGATGTAGTAATTGAACAGCAAATAATGCTGGTTCATCAAGTCTATTTAATTGCTGTAATTGTTCACGATCTTTGTAATTTTTATCAGTTTGAGTTGTCAAACGTACGAAACAATGAATTAGATCCGAAGCAACCGTAACAGGAATACGTTTTTCAATAACAAATAAATTCCAATTAAATTTTGCTGCTATTTTCATTGCGAAATATCTTGATGCTCGAATTCGATTATCTTTTAATTCAATATCATTTGGATTTTCAGTTGCTATTTTAAGTTTTGTTTTTTGTTCAATTAAATTTGCACTAATCAAAAATTGCATAATCAAATCCGTTCCAGTAATTTTAAAATTTTCTTCTGTTAAAAATGGATCTTACAATGTTGGATTAAGTAAAAAGTCAAGCCAACTTGCTGTTTGTGAACTTACAGATGATGTAAATTCACTAATTATATTTTATCCCTTAGTAAGTTGTAATAAGAAACTTTCCTCGATGGTGTGTGGAGCACGACATCTAACTTGTCTTTATATATATCGCATCGAGGATTTAGAAAGAAAAAGTGAAATGTGTAAAGACACAGTAGATGTCGTGCTCCACAGACTGTCGAGGAAAGTTGCTTATTAC